ACACACCGCGGCAGCGAGCAGCAGCTAGCCACGGCTAGCCACAACTAGCAGCAGCAAACAGCAGCCAGATGCAGCTAGGGGAGCAGCTAGCTGCAGCAGCAGCTTGCTGCTGCAGCTAGCTGCGGCTAGCCAAGCTTAGCCGCAGCTGCCCACGAAACAGCGCAGCTAAGAGTAGCTAGCTGCTGCTCTTTAGCTGTAGCTAGCTGCAGCGGCAGCAGCAGCTGTTTGCAGCAGGGCGTTGGCTAGCTGCAGCAGCAGCTGGCTAGCTGCAGCAACAGCTAGCTAGCTGCAGCAACAGCTAGCTAGCTGCAGCTGATCTGGCTACTGTTTTGCTTTTTGTTTGCTCAATTCATTTGGCTCGACTTTGGAAGCATCTCTTGACTTGCTGCTGCTGCAGTCGGCTGCTGCTGCTGCTGCTGCTGCTGCTGCTCTGCGGAAGGGGGAAGAGCAGCAGCAGCAGCAATAATAACGGCCGCTGAAGCAGCAGCAGCCACAGCAGCAGCAGCAACAGCAGCAGCAGCAGCAACGACAAGCCGAACCCTGCAGACACTCGAGGCGGCTCGTCTCCCAGCAGCAGCAGCAGCAGCAGCAGCAGCAAGGACTTCAGCAGCAGCAGCAGCAGCAAAATGATTGTTGTTTTATGAGACTAATAAATTTACACTTTTGAACTAAAAAAAAGGGAAGCAGCAGCTGGAGTCTTGAGATGCAGGGCTAGGGTTTGGGGTTTAGGGTTTAGGGTTTAGGGTTTAGGGTTTCCTCAAAGGGAGTTGAACAGATTTGCATGAAAGCAGCAGCAATGAAAAAAATGGATGGAAAGGCATAGCTTGTAATTTCCCGTTGCTGCTGCTGCTGCTGCGCTGCTGCTGCTGCAGACCCGCCGCTGCTGCTGCTGCTGCTGCTGCTGCTGCCAGCGCTAAATACTGCTGGGATCGGGTGGGATCGATTGGGATCGGGTGGGATCGTTTTGTGCTGGTCTTAGGGATGGCAATTGTGTCTGCCGTTTAAGAGAGTCCCTAAACACTAAACCCTAAACCCTAAACCCTAAACCCTAAATCCTGCACGTTTGGGCGGCTTCACGCCGCCTTGGCAGCCCAGAACCCTAAACCCTAAACCCTAAAACCTAAACCCTAGGGCCTAAACCCTAAACCCTAAACCCTAAACCTGTTTAATAATTCGTTGGCTTCTCTTCTTAGCCTCTGCGGGTTCCTCTCCATCCGTGGGACCAACCTGCTGCTGCTGTTGCAGCAGCAGCAGCAGCAGCAGCAGCGGCTGGCGCGCTGTCCAACTACGAAAGCAGGTGCTGCTGCAGCAGCAACAGCACTTCCAGCAGGTACTACAGCGGTGCAGCAGCAGCAGCAGCAGCTGCTGCTGCTGCTGCTGCCGCCCCGAAGGAACTGCAGCAGCACGCCCTTGCTGCCTGCGTTTGGTGGTGTCTGTGAGCTGCGACAAAGCATCAGCAGCAACAGCAGCAGCAGCAGCAGCGGCAGCAGCAACAGCAGCAACAGCAGCAGCAGCAGCAGCAACAGCAGCAGCAGCAGCAGCAGCAGCAGCAGCGCGCCTATGGCCGTTTGCGTGCATGCGGGCTAGGGGAAGGACCCCTAAACCCTAAGCCGGCAGAAGCTTCCGGCAGCAGCAGCAGCAGCAGCAGCAGCAGCAGCAGCAGCAGCAATGGATGAGAGCAAGGGGCCCCCAAAGGGGGGCCTCCCCTCCGCGTCCGAGGCTGTGAACAGCAGCAGCAGCAGCAGCAGCTGCGACGCTGTTGGGCCTGCTTACGCTGCTGCAGCAGCACCAGCAGCAGCCCCTGCTGCTGCAGCGCCTGCTGCAGCAACAGCAGCAGCAGCAGCAGCAGCAGGGGGGCCCCCCCCTCAGGGGGGGGGCCCCCGATCTCGACTGTACCCTCTTTGCCGCCCTGCGTCGGCCACCTTAACGAGGCCCCACCGCACAGCAGCAGCAGCAGCAGCAGCAGCAGCAGCAGCAGGAGACACCCGCAGGAACCTGCAGCAGCAGCTAAGTCACCTGGCGGGGGGGCTCTTTCACCCCCGCCACCCCATGAACAGTTCTGCTGCTGCAGCAGCAGCAGCAGCAAGGCCTGCGGCTGCTGCAGCGATCGGCAGGCCCAGCGCTGCTGCTGCTGCTGCAGCACGGCCAGCAGCAGCAGCAGCAGCAGCAGCAGCAGCAGGCTGCCGGCCGCTGTCCTCAGTTGCTGCTCTGGGGGCGCGGGACGTGCGGGTGTTTGGCTCTGCGCAGCTGCCGTTTGCTGCTGCTTCCTGCAGCAGCAGCAGCAGCAGCAGCAGCAGCGGCAGCGGCAGGGGGGGCCGCAGCAGCAGCAGCAGCAAAAGCAGCAGCTGCTGCTTCTGGTTTAGACTTTATTTAGTGCGCTTTTTCGAACTGTGGGGTGGAGATGACTTTGCAAGGAGGCAGCAGGGGGCCCCCGGCAGCAGTTTCTATTCGAGGTGCAGCAGCAGCACGGGGGGCCCCCTTGCTGCTGCTGCTGCTGCTGCTGCTGCTTCGCGCAGCAGCAGCGGCGCGGGGGAGAGCAGCAGCAGCAGCACGGCGACGACGGCAGGTGCAGCAGCAGCGGAGAAGCCGAGCCCGAAGGCGCACGGCAGCAGCAGCGGCGCTGCTGCAGCAGCAGCAGCAGCAGCAGCAGCAGCAGCAGACAAGCGGCTTGCTGCTGCTCAAAACCCTCTCAGATTTCCTTCAGCAGCAGATGAAACTGCTTACAAATTATATTTAAATTCTTTATATCCTTTCAGGCTTCTTGTTGTGGGGCTTTTGATGCTCTTTGTCGAACTCATGCAGGTCGCCTGGGTCTTCGTCACCGAAGGTAAACCCTAAACCCTAAACCCTAAATTAGGGTTTACGCCCGCACGCCCGCGGCGTCTCACTTGAAACCTGCTTCACTTACTTCAACTTCCCTTTTAATCAAACAAACTCTTCTTCAATTAATCAACTCCCTTTTAAATCAAATAAATTCTTTTTTAATTTAAAATTTCAATTTCTGGATCGTGTGGGGTCTTTTGGGATCGTGTGGGGTCTTTTGGGATCGTGTGGGGTCATTTGGGATCGTGTGGGATCGCGTGGGATCGTGTTGGGTCTCCTGGGATCGTGTGAGGGGTTATGGGATCGTGTGGGATCGTGTGGGATCGCCTGGGATCGTGTGGGATCGTGTGGGGTCGCTTTCGATTGCCTGGGATCGTGTGGGATCGTGTGGGATCGTTCGGGATCGTGTGGGGTCGTGTGGGACCGTATGGGGTGGACCGGGATCGCCTGGGATCGCCTGGGATCGCCTGGGATCGCCTGGGATCGTGTGGGGTCGGCTGGGATCGTCTGGGATCTTCTGGGATCGTGTGGGATCGTGTGGGATCGTGTGGGATCGGCTGGGATCGTGTGGGATCGTGTGGGATCGTGTGGGATCGTGTGGGATCGTGTGGGTGGCAGGGTCGTCTCCGGACCGGCTGCACTGGCCGAGTCTGCAAATGGCGGAGTCCGTTTTCTACACCATCATTTCGGGCTTTTGTTTGCTGGTCTTTCTTTACGGGCTTTTGGCGCTGTCTTCCAAACTGCCCCTCGTGAAGCGCCACCTGGAGGCCTTCGCAGTCACTATTCTCGCAGTGGTACAAACCCTAAACCCTAAACCCTAAACCCTAAACCCGAGGTGGTCATTTAGGCTTATTTGGCGGCTTTTGTAATCACTATTTTCGGCGTTGTCGTAAACCCTAAACCCTAGAAGGTCGTCAAACGCCACCTGGAGGCCTTCGGTGTCACTATTCTCGCGGTGGTCCAAACCCTAAACCCTAAACCCTAAACCCTTATAGGTCATTTGGAGGCCTTTGTAGTCGCCTTTCTGTAAACCCTAGAAGGCAGCTCAGG